AAGGGCACTACTGGGGGATCTAGATACAATTGTTGCACACAGGTGTATGTCTCGCAGTTCCCCGTCAGCTACTGCCGGCGCGGTGTAAGAACTTCCGAAGGAATTGAGGCTTTGGATGGCACGAACATGAGAAACAAACATCGGAACGATCAAACTATGCCAAGAAAAGGTATCCCGTCTATGGGCATGCCAAAACTAGGGTTCATCCCCCTCTATGTTTCAGAACTTAACAAAGGTGCTGCGTGAAAGAGAATGGGGCGACAGCTGGGTCGCTGATGAATTCCACATGCGTAATCATATAATGGTAGTTTCCTTTTGTTGTTCCCCTAAACCAAGCTGGAAAAACTCAGCAACACACACACACTCACACACTCACTCACTCACTCACTCACTCACTCACTCACTCACTCACTCACTCACTCACTCACTCACTCACTCACTCACTCACTCACTCACTCACTCACTCACTCACTCACTCACTCACTCACTCACTCACTCACTCACTCACTCACTCACTCACACACACACACACACACTCTCACACACACACACAGTGCAACATGCGCCTTAGAATGATGAGCAAATCCAGTAGCTGAACTGCATACCTTGGTGAATTTGGGGGTTGCGGGACATGGGAAAATTGACTCAGGGCAGGTAGTAAGATGTGGTACAACTTGTGCGGCTCGCTTCGCTCATCATGGGCAAATTGACGCCTGCCTTCTTGAAGCTAAGCAATGCTCTGCCCTTCCGCTATGTGTGCTTTCTTTCGAGGTGGCGTTTTTTGTTTTTAAGGGTACCGTGTTTCGGGTTGGTTTATATATTTCAGGATGTCAAAATAACCACTTTGGGATCCCTCCGTTTCAACGCATCCTGTGCAGGAAAGTAGTTGCAGGCGCCGAGATCGACCATCTGTGCTGCATTTCCGCGACCGCAATGTGTCTCAGCCCCCAGAAATGAGACAGAAATGGACGGACGGACGGATGGATGGATGGCCCCCAGAAATCACCCGCTTTGGCCATGGGTCAACATCCAAATCGTACCCGCAGTGAACATCTCAATCCAACCACGAAAAAACAAAGCCGAAAAAATGGGTGGTGAATTCACCGAATCCCCAAAAAATGGGATCCCAAAACGGTTTTGACAACCACAGCCAACCACAAAACCATCCCGTTGGGTTTGACAACAGCCACTTGAGGCCGGCCAAACAAACGGGACCCGCCCAAAACCAAACCCCGTCGAGCCTCCTCGTCCTCCTCCCCTTCCAGGTGGCTGACGGCCGTGCCGGCGTGAAGCTGGCCCTGAGAACCCGAAGTCGCCCCAGACCCCAGTGCCCTTCGCTCGAAGCTCCTTGGGAAAGTGTTGTAATAACACCGATGTGTCGGCCTAGGGAAACGGGTGAAACAAGTGACTGCCACTCGTCTCTGGGCGAGCGTCTTTGGGGGGTCTAAGCTAAGCTGTGACAAAAGACTACGCATCCAGAGCGTGCGCAAGAGGAGCTGCACGTGGCAACTTGCGTACCACACCAAGAGAACTGGGTGTGGCTCAAGAATAGAGAGCCAAAATGGAACCCTGGTAAACAGAAAAGTAGACTAAAACCTGCGTAACCCCAGCTGTTTAATTTTGAGCCACACCCAAACAGACTTCAAAACGCGAGCCCTAGACGTCATTCACATGGAGCGTTGTGTCCCAACCATGGTTGAGCTTCGGCATTCCTTCATCGCCAAGCTTCGGCGGATGGTTCCAGTGCAAAAAGAGTTGGGAGCCCTGAAACTTCAAGTCACTGGAATTAAGCGCACTAGACACAAAAGCAACCCTTCGGCATGGATGAGCTCAGACAACCCCGCAGGTGCCATCGCAACTTGCCCCAACTTCTGTTGGACTTTCACGTGCCCATGGCCAACCTGGGATTGGGCTCACAAACCAAGAGCAAACCAATCAAACCAACTGCTTGGCGTCTCTGTTGTTGAGACCCCCCAAAATGGCGAAAACTCGAAATGATCTCATGCGACTCCATTTTCCTCGAGCTGTGAACATGCGACGGGGGAGTCGGTTCGCGAACGGTTATGGACATGCGTACGTACTCAGAACGCCGAGAAGTATCTCCATCCAGCGAGAGCGCTGCTCAATGCGTAGTTGTGGTTCTCGCCTGCTTCTCAATTATCATCAGAAAGGAAACCAATTTGATTCAACTTGTACTTGGTAACCACGCAGCTTGGGCATGCCCAAACTTCGCCGCCATCCACACAGACAAGTTGCGGCAATCGCGACACTGCTTCCAAGTCCTCCCATTTTCCTGAAATCTGCGGTTCGCAGAGGCCGATGCTGCATTTGTACAGAAGTGACGTATCTCCACCTCCAATTCCTCCGACACGTACTCGGGAGATGTGTGTCAAATCCCAGCCGATGCGATGAAAGATGAAAGCGGTGACACTCCGGCACTGGAAACCACGGTGTGCCAGCGAATCTGGTAGCCGCGTGCAGTAGTGATGAGCCTGTCTAGCAAGCTTAGAGTGCGTCTTCGCGCCAATTTCGAGCACTGCAAAGTTCGCACCGCTTCCAGCAAAAACCATGTCACCCCTGCCATGTTGTGACAGGCCTGGGACCACATCCCACTCAAATAAGAATAGGAAAGGATAAAGTCGCCGAAACTCTTCTTGATGTTTGGACAACGGAGCATAGTTGAGAAAACGTTCGAACGTGTCATGCTCGGGTATGCGATGACCAAAACCTGAGGCACCATATTCTTTGCTGAACCGCTCCCGCATCTCAGCGTCACGTTTGCGAAGCTCACCGTCGGCTAGAGTGCGCAGACTAGATCTGAATCTCAAGAGTGGGACTTTGGCACCCAGCCGAAGGACTCCCATTCGAAAAAGAAATGCTCAACACAAGCAGTGAAGTGGACTTCAAACTTGTGCCAAGCGTGAGCCAATATGGCTGTGGACCAACGATCAAGCTGAATCCACGAGCTCTCGTCCGCCGTCGCCGTCTCACGTTTCCACCCAAAGTCACATGGCCGAAGAAGTTTGATCCAGAAGAACCAGCCCCCACCTCTTCACCCGTCCGAACGCCCGTCGTTGCCGCCCAAAGCAAAAACTTGGTGTCCTGTTGCATTTATGGTTCACACCAAATTCGCCGGGCCTCTGGCCCAAGGTGTGTCATGTATCTAGCAATGCACCCTCTTCAACTCGTTGATTCTTTGATTGATCAACTTTGGTGCCGAGGCGGCCCCAAAGGCCCCAAAGTGGGTGGAGTTTTTGTGATGGTCGCCAGCCACCTTTGGGCGATGTACCAACCCCCAACTCCAAGAGCTCCCTATCCCTGAATTTCAAACCACCATTAAAGCCATAAAAGTTCATATTTTAATATCACCACCATTATTTACCCACAGATTCTTATATATCATCTAAATTGGGTGAACCTTTGTGGGGGCTGAAGGGCTAGCGCGGTCCAACCTCTCGAGCCGATGCCATCCTCAAAAAAAGAGATGCGAAACGGGAAGCAAGGTGGCGGCCTTGGCCAATTCCTGACTGATCACTCGGTGAAATGAACAACTCATACATCCTGGGCGACTCCAAGGATTTTCCGACACGGGATTACGCCGACCCTACACAAGTCGGCTAGAATAGAGTGATTCCGTACAGGGAACAATCCCAGGGTGTGATAGGAAACCCTTGGAGTGAAGTATCATCACTCGCGAAACTGAGATAAGGGTCTCAACAAAGGCACCTTGATGGGTAAGGCTGCAAATGGCTATTTGTCAGGTTGCCTTCAGCTCCCTTTCAACAAACACACAAAAGAGAAGCCTAAAAAACAAATCGTGCGAGGTCGCGATTTGCCCATCGCCTTCGCTTGCCTGGGGTGTTCAAAATGGGGTTCCGGACTCCGAATTTAATCAATTGGGACTTCAAGTGAAATCATGCAATCCACCCGGGAACTTGCGGATTGTTGCTAAACCCTCAAATTTGGGTGGACACCAAAATCCCATATCATCTCCGCAAACTTGGACATCAACCACTTCTCTTCTTCTTTCTGGGGGGAGGGGAACGGGTCCATTTTGTAATCTGTTTGTTTGGGGATCCTTACATTCTGAACATTGCCTTGCAAATGGTGGCTTCCCCGTATTTTGGTGGAAGAAGCCATGTTTCAACTGGTTGCAAAATGTATCTTTTAAGCAGCCCTGTTGTTTTTTTTCTTTTTTTCTGGGGGTTTGAGTCCAAACAGGCCCGGGTCCGTGGCAGGGAGGCGAGCACCCCCCTGGCTCCGCCTCGCGGTGGTGGAGGATGGAGTTCAAAACGATGGCCGTGCGTGCCCCGGCCACCTTCCGGAAAAAAAAAGGGCTTCGCCCAAGGAAACTGGGGCTTTTTTTTATGGGGATTTGGAGCTGACCCCATGGTGGCTTTGACATGGTTGACGTCGGAAGGGGAGCAACAACTCTCCAATTCTAGCAGTTAAGTGGATAGATTTCAACCACTAAGCCACAATGAGCAAAAATCTAGAATGTTTCCCAACAAGAACCATGTTGCTTTGTTTTTCAGGTTGCCCTTGTTTTGGCGGTTTAGATTTGGATTGTGGGTCCCTGGCTTCTTGTAGAGGGTAGATGGGAAACCACTCCCTAACCAAACCACCGGATTCGGCTCCATCATTGGAGGGAAGCTGAACTTCTGGAAGTCCCTTGAAAAAAAAAAAAAACAGCACACCTCCGCAACTTGCTTCCCTTCAAGCAAAACCAAACAAGCCAGAAAAAAGCATCGGGACACACCTCCCCTGAAAGAAAACAAGACACAGCCACCCCCGAAACAACCGCTCCGCGGGGGTTTACCCTGGGCCGAGGGGCTCTTTGGCCGGCCGCAAAATTCCGAGGCCGCGGCCAGCATCTTGGAGAACATCTCGCGCTTCCACACGTCATACAGCTCCTCCGAGAGCCTCGAATCGATCGAGGCGGCTGGCGGGCGCCACGGCGGCGGTTGCCGGGTGGAGGTGTTTGGAGTAAGCAACTGGGCGTGCTTTTTTCGTGTTTCCCCTTTTTTTTCCCCAAAACGTCGGAATGAAGATCGGGTGTTCCTTCCAAATCAGCAAACCTGGTGTTGAAATGGTTGATTGATGATTGGGGAAAAAGTGAATTCAATAGCTTCTATTCGTAATTGGTGCGGTTGGATCTGTTTGTTGAGGTGCCCTGTCTTGGGTGGCTCTATATGGAAACCCAAAGAAAGGACGGTTTCGACGCCACAACTGTTGGAAGGCTTCGTCGACAAAGCTTCAAGCTGAGCTGTCCTCAGATCCCCCGCTCAAAGCTTAACTTGTTACAAAAACAACCACTACAACCCAAACCCAACCACAAACCAAAAACCTGACAACCTCATGACCCGGATGGCTGGTTCCAAACCGCCAAGCAAACAGCGAACCACAAATCGGCTCAACGGTTTTCCGCTCTTGGGGCGGCTTCGGCACTTCAAGGGAAAGGTCAAGAGCTCTGTGAAGAGCAGTCTCTTTCAAGAGGGTTCACATCTCCAAGCCCAAGAGAACATCATCACAGAACCCACTTTTACTTGGCCCAAGCGGTGTTTCAATCGGCCCAAACGGCGCTTTGTCGGGTCTTTCTTCTAAGGCCCACCCTTTTTTTTTGCGGCTCGTTTTGACTGAAAGGAAGCAACACCGGGAAAAAAAAAGAAAAAAACACGACTATTTGCTTCAGATGGAAGGCGTTCATTTCCCCAAGGCCAAGCCCAGGAGCCCAAGACCCCAATTTTTTTCTTCGAGGGTCGTAGGCCTTGAACCCCAAGGCCACAAGAGGCTCCTTGCCGGCAAGGAGCTCTGAACAGAGGCCCAACTTAAGACGCGAGCCCCTGCGCACATGTTGGCTTGATGTGTTTTTTTTTCACTTTCTCTGGGTTGGATTTGTTGTTTAATGATTTGTTCACTTTCTGTGGGTCGAAACATTTATTCTTTCACGTTCTGTGGGTGGAATAATTTGTTTGTTTAATGATTTGTTCACTTTCTGTGGGTCGAATCATTTTTTCAATCACGTTATGTGGGTGGTATAATTTGCATTTTTATGATTTGTTCACTTTCTGTGGGTTGAATCATTTCTTCTTTCACTTTCTGTGGGTTGATTGTTTTATATATATATATATATCTATCTATATATATTTTGTTCGTTTGTTTATGTTTTTTTATGATTTGTTCACCTTCGGTGGGTTGAATCATTTTGTTTCTTTCACGTTCTGTGGGAGGAAATTGTTTTTTTTTTACTAAATAATTTGTTCACTTTCTGTGGGTTGAATCAATCTGTCTTTCACTTTCCGTGGGTTGTGTGTTTTTCCTAAATGTGCTGTTCACTTTCTTTGGGTTGAATCATGTTTTTTCTTTCACGTTCTGTGGGTTGAATATGTTAAAACAAAAGCTCACTTTTTGTGAATCACTTTTTTTCTTTCACGTTCTGTGGGTGGAATAATTTGTTATTGTTTTTTTTTGTTTTTTTTTTTTTAATGATTTGTTCACTTTCTGTGGGTTGAAACATTTTGCTTCTTTCACTTTCTGTGGATTGAATGATTTCTTGTTTTTTGTGATTTGTTCACTTTCTGTGGGTTGAACATTTGCTTCTTTCGCTTTCTGCGGGATGAACTAGTTGTTTTCTTTTATGTTTTTTTTTTTTTTTCACTGTCTGTGGGTTGAATCCTTTTTTTCTTTCACTTTCTGCTGGTTGAACCATTTGCGTTTTTGTTAAAAAAATAAAATAAATATATATATATATAAATGTGGGTTGAATCATTTGTTTCTTTCACTTTCTGTGGGTTGAATCATGTGTGTTTTTCTGCGGATTAAATCATTAGTTTCTTTCACATTGTTCGGGTTGAATCATTTGGTTCTATGTGTTTTGTCCTTTTTCTGCGGGTTGAATCATTGGTTTCTTTCACTTTCTGTGGGTCGAATCATGTGTTTCTTTCACTTTCTGTGGGTTGAATAATATGTTTTTTTATGACTTTTGTTCACTTTCTGTGGGGGGGTCGAATATGTCTGTCTCTTTCATCGTCTTAGGTTCTTTTAAGCAAAAAGCGCGCCCAGGTCGTCGGCATCTTGCGGCAGCGCCTGAAGACACCGTTGGAGTCCAGCTCCTCGGTGATCTGCTTGCCGGTCACCGGGTTCCTCGTCGAAAGAAGAAAAGAAAAAAAGGCGTGGATAGGCGAGGACGGGCTGGAGACAAAAAATGTGGGGTCTTTGGGGAGAACTAGGGATTCCCAAAAAGTAGCTTGTCTAAAGTTCGTGTCAGTGCCAACACCCCTTCCTCTTAAGGCAATCTGAGATACTGGAACAAGTTGTTTTAATCTGCGATTGTTCTATAATTCCAAGCTGGCGGTAGAGCCGCATGGTGTATAGGGGAAAAAACAAAAAACAAAAAACAATGCGGGGTCTCTAATTAGGGGGAACTTGGGATTCTTTGAAGGGAAATCACTGGCTCAAGAGCCAAATGGTTCTGGGTTATTCCCGAAACTCCTTGCGGAGAACCCTGCACAAATATGAGGAAATCACTGGTACAGCCGCATGGATCATAGGGGTTATTCCCGAAATTCCTTGCGGAGAAGCCTGAAAAAAATGAGGGAAGCCACAAGTACTGATGGTTGCGACATCCATTTCGTACCGCGGTTCAGACACTCTGGAATGAGTTGATTCCCTGTAAATACCAACAAACGCTATGGTTTCAACCATGGTTTCATGTCGCGGTGCGAACCGATTTCGTCCATCCAGAGGGGGTTTCTCCCTCCCTGAGAACCCAATAGAGCGAGTTCCAGTTACTCTAAGCCCGCCAGTCATCAGATGGGTTTCAGGGGAAAGCCCCTAATTTTACGCCACTAAAAAGCCTAACCCAGTTTAAGAAGCGTAAGTTAGGGGAGGACTGAAGCCTCAACTCCTGGTACAATTCATGTCGACCCCGGAAATAACAAATATGCCCTGTACCCAACAGCCTCAAGATCCCCTGGAACCGAATCTCCGGAACCCTCCCTGAAAGCTGCCCCAGCCCCCACCCCCCGGAACAAGCCGAGGTATGGGCAGGGACAAAATCCATAGCGTTCAGCTGTTGGGCCAAAATCACCTCCCAAATGAATAGGGCTGAGTTTTTGAAAAAGGCGAAAGATGTATCAAAACTAAATGGGACACACCCGGATCAAATCCCAGAGGTGGCTGCGTCTGGGCTTCACAAACCCTCACATAGCCTTATAGGTTAGTACTGTTCTAGGGGTTGATTCCCCATTCTTTTCAACCATCGTTCCTTTTCAAAACCGGATCCGTTTTCCTTGGGTTTTTGATGGTTTTCTGAAAAGACGGATCCTTGGAAAGAATGGGGAAGGTATTTCTAGAAATGTGTGTGTTTGGGGCCAGCCGGCCGGGATGGCAAAACCTAGGCAAATCTGTGCCCCTCGTTCCTGGCCCCCAGTTGTCAACGCTCCTGTACACAGAGTCGCACATGAACTTGGCGCTCTCGTCAGCCCAGCGGGTCAGCAACGTCTCATGCTCCTAGCAGGCCCCGTTTTGGTTTGACGGGAACCCCCTCCAAAAGAAGGCAAAAGGGAAAGGCCTACGGGTCGAAGAAGACCCTCCATTTGCTTTTTTTCGCCGCCTGGAAACATGAGACAAAAATGGATTGTCCAAGAGTGATAGATACCAACTTTCAAACCGACAGGGAAAATAAAAATCGTCTTAAGCAAATGGAAGAGACCATTCAGAAACCAGACAAATGTTTGGAGAACTGGTTTCAACCTCGACGCGGATCCCGAAGACACCCAGTTTTGGGCCTGGGATGTCAGCGCCAACCCAAAAAGGGGGACCTCACCCAATTCTAAAAGTTGATCCCGGACGTCCTTGCCTGGAAAGAATGAGTGAAATTCTTTCCGGGCAAGCACGCCGGGTAAGGCAGGCTGCCAGAGGATTTGTTCCCCTGTCCAAATCTGCAAAGCCTTTCCTTGAGTCTTGGGAAAGGTGGGTGTCTTCTAGAGGACCCCCCCAGAAAATTGGGGTTTTCCTTGTGGCTTCCCCCTAAAACAAACCGAAAAAGGGGTACCAACTCAAAAAGGACGAGCCACCCAGGTGGCTGCCGAATCTTTTATTGGCCCTTGTGTTCAAAAGGGCATCCATACCCAGGCCTCATTGACTCATGGATGACTTCGAAGGGAAACCAACTGGATGTCTGGGCAAGGTCCAACCTCTCCAATCTGCAGGCAAAACAGGGTCCTCTGTGTGTGTGTGTGTGACGAACAATGTCCTGACTTGCTCGGAGCCGAAACTGCTGCTGGGTGGCCTCTTCGTTCTTTCGGTTTGCAGAGTTGGGGTGCGCCTCCAGTGCTTGCTGTATCTCCCATCAACTGTGTGTGTGTATCAATTTAGGGATTTGACTTTTTGGGCGGAGTCGGAGGCAGCTCGGTGGTCTCAGGCAGAGGTGAAAGCAACCAGGCCGGAGCAACCCACGCAAGCCTCCCATTTGGCTGGGGGGGAGGCCGGTTCTTTTTCATTTGGCACCTGAAAGTGGGTGTTCCAACAAGGTTCTAGGACGCTAAAGAGAATGATTTTCCTTTGGCGCAAGCGATCAGAACCCGTTCCTTTGAACCTGTTTAGGGTCCCCTGAACACCTTTTTGTGGGCCGTCGAGAATGCTCAGGCGGAGTGGTCCTTCTTGAACTGCTCGCTATCCCGCTCGTACCTTGGACACAAACAGACTTCTTGCGGATAGCCATGGAACAAGGGCACCTTTTTTGTCATGAAAACACGGCACCCGTTTATCAGAAAAAAAGGGCATTTTGTTGTTGCTAGTTGATTGTTTGGGGGGAAAGCTCCCGCAGAAGAGGAAACAGCCTCTTTTTTGTAGTTGATTCTTAAGGGAAGTACCTCTGTTCGTGGCTGTTTAAATTGGGAAAGCTGTTTAAATTGGGAAAGCCCTCTTGTTGGTGTGGTTTGCCAAGGGAACTTCCATTTGCTGCTGGTCTGTTTGGTCCCCACCCTCCTCCCCCCCCCCACGGCAAGAAAAAGGAAACAATAAGTTGCGCGAAGCCAACAGGCTGAGGGAATGAGGTGTATCCTTACGGCGATGGCCGTTTCGGCTCCACAAAATTCGGTCCTAGTCCCTTTCCAACTGACAACACCTCCTATTCCCTACAAATAAAAGCTCAACACCTTATATCAAACACCTTCCCCGCGAAGCTTCCGCAGCCGGTCTTCCGACATTGGTGGGACCCTGAAAAACACTTGCCAGGCCCCAAGGAATATTCTGATGGGCGAAATCCATTGGTTGGCATCAAAAAGGGGCATCGAATCCTTCCAGGCCTTCTGAACTGGGGTACAGGATTTTGTCCATGCACAGTAATGGGGGCGGGGTACTGCAAAACCAAATTAAGTCATGATAGCCCCGTCTCAGGAATTGTTTTGCCCCTGATACTGATTGTCAGGAGAAACACCAAGCTTGCCATTGTTCAAGGCGAACATGGCAAAACTGGCCATGTCGCAAGGAACATCAGGATCATCTTCCGTGTGGAACTCAACACAGCGCAACTGTCCAGTCCGCAAAACATCGGGGAACCTTGGCCAACCTGGCCATTTCCGGGCCAACCCTCTTGGCCGCTCGCCCGTGCTCCCCGTTTTGTCCTCAGGTCTCCGGGCTCCACCCGGGTGCGCTGCACGTGGGTCCAGCCGCCCCACCAGAAGTGGGGCTCGTTGCGGATCACGCTCTGCGTGAGCTCCTTGTCCCAAACCTCGTTCGAAGTGCCGAGCGCTTGGTCCCTGGTAAGACCCTCCCTCCAACCTAGCGGTCGTTAGGGTCCATTGACCCTAAACCAACCCTAAAACGACCTTACCCCCCACCCACGTGTTGGACCCCTGGGCTCTCCGTTTGCTGCTAAAAGTGAATAACTTGATGTGGGTTGGATGGAAACCCAACCACCAAGGCGAACAAAGCTGAAACGCTGAGGAAATTGACCTTCCAGGCACCTCCCACAGTGGGAGGGAGGGTAACCCTCTGTGCTCTGGCCATTTGGTGGGAGCTCATTCTTTGCTCAGTGCTTCAAGGGACACCTGGCTGAAGTACTTCGTGTCGGTACTTGGGGATACGGCCTTCTGTTTTGCTTCCCCTTAGCTTCCCAGACCTCGCTCCACCCCGCTCCACTTCGTTCGCCCTCCCTCTATCCTGCGCCCTTCGACCCGCTCGAACGGAGAAGACATGCGGCCCGGAAAAAAACAAGAAGAAAGAGAAAAAAAGAGACCACAAAGACCAAAAGCAGGCGCCCCTAGTTTCGAGGTTGGGGTGCGGTTTACCAAAGTCGTTTCGCTTTCTTGATCTTCCATGTCGCACTGTCGCGGTTCATAAAAGGCGACCACACCCTCACAGATCCCCAATCTTTGGGCTAAGTTGCCCCGTGGCTTGTCGTCGGACTGGGGCCACACCCTCGGGTTTTTTTGTTGGTCCGGGGTGGCCCAACCCCAACTTTTGAGACCGTGGTGGCAACCATGAGATGCCGAAATCCGGCTGTTCGGGTGGAATTGTGAGTGGACACAAGCCTAAAGTGAGTCGGAATGGGGGCGAGGGAGAGGGAGAGCGAGAGAGAGAGAGAGAGAGTGAGATAGAGAGAGGGAGAGAGACACAACAGGACATGGAATGCTAGAGATGAGCCATTGTTCCACCCTGCATGGACTGTCCGCGCTCAGGGTCATGCAACTTTCCGTTTGCTTACGGTGACAGCCAAAATCAAAGAAATCTGCCTCAGCATTCGTCCCGTCGCCAAAAGTAATAGTTGTGTTTCTGGTCCACATTGAGTGGACCCTAAAATAAGATTCCGGACAAGAGTGATCCCAGACATGTTCATCGGTGATGAATATTCATCAGTGATGGCCGTGTCCAGGCAACAACAAACAGCTGCTGAAAGCACAACCGAGTTTGACACATGAAGGGACCCTGAAAGCCCAGCGGTTGAAACCAAAATTTGGGGAGAGACCACCTGCGAACCTGCGAACCTGAGACCTTTGTCTTGATGTTGGGACTCTGCCCTGCAAAGCGGGATCCGGATTCCCATGACTTTGAGGGAGTTCCCTTGGCTCCAAGCGAAAAATCCCTCGCTGAGGTCAAGCTTTCCACCATGCCGACTTTACAACGAAGGGAATTCCCTGGACCAAAAACTTCAATGTGATAGTTTTCCGCCATGGCCAAACCAGTTCGCTCTCTCTCTCTCGGCACCGAAAATTCCACGAGCGCGAACTGAGCCAAAGGCGTCGAAGAGGTTCGTCTTCTTGTCCCGGAACAAAACCTCGATCCGCGACAGCCCCAGCCAAAAGACAATTACGAATGTTGTTTTTTCCTCAAAATTACATGGGAAAATGAGTCCTCGTTTTTCTCTCGGACATTTTGGGCTTGCCCCCCACGTCCCTCCTACCAGAAATAGACAAATCAGGACCTTTCCACCAAACCTCACTTGGCTCATTGAAATGGCAGCCACTGGGAATCGACATGCGCGAAGTCGAACAACTCCTCGCTGGTGGGGCTGGGCTGTCCTCAGAGTAACGTTTAGCGGGTTAAATTCGGAAACCCCACCACTCAACGTCATAAAAACCAAAAAAAAGCCAAAAAGATGGCCTGGAACCAGGGGGAACAGGGGGCAACCCTGGAATTTGTTGCGAACCCACAGATTTTTTTCTCGTAATTCACCTCGCCTCCCATGGGAGGTGAGCCGAAGGCTGGAATCACGTCACCGAAAGGCAGGGTATGTGTCCAAAACTCGGTTGCTGTCTGCTCCCCTGCTAAAAGTGAATAACATTTAGTGGTTTAATGGAAATCCCATTAGCTGGCAAAAAGTTAAAAAGAGCTTTTTGCGCCCACCCCAACCAAGGGGCGTCCCGGATAAAGATCTTTCGGCACCCATGGATCCCACCTCTCACCACCCGAAATCTGGCTAGCAGTAGCAGAGGAGCCATCTTTGAGAAACAGCTCCCAAGGCAATTCCCCCCAAAACCCGACCGCACATGAACTATGGGGCACACTCCAAGGCCCAAAAGCACAAAATCAGCTCCTGCCCAAGAAAGCTTGGGAGTGTCTCCAAGCTATTTTTCGGAACACCTTTTGGTGTTTTCTTTTTTTTGTTTTTACGGGAATCCTTTCCAAGGGAATCGGACCAACTCCTTTGAGAAACGCCCAGAGTCTCAGAAACTTGGATGCACCCGACCCAAGTTTGGAGTCTCAGAGCACCTGAGAAAAAGCTTGAACAAAAACCGGGGGGAACTCGGCGTTTTTGTTCCAAAACCTCCACATGGCTGAATTGGCTCCCATATCCGAGGACAAAATGCAAAAGGCTGGTCCTCCAGTTCTCCCCTGCTGCACGAACTGCTCTGGTGGCGAAGTCTTAGATTTTGTCCCTCCACAGCACCAGTTTGCCGCGGCTTTCCAAAGACCTCGATTGAATGGGACAGGACTCCCCTCAGGAAACTCAAACTTTGAATGCACCCCAAGAGTGATATTTCGGGTTCAGCCTAACTTTTGGGCCTGTAAACCAAAGGCAGAATAGAGCTTGGGGTAAGAACAGGGCCCCCTGTTCAAGCCACCCCTTCAAGGAGAAACATGGGTGTGCTTTCTAAGGCTCCGTACTCTTTCCAGGAAGGGAACCGCAAAACAAACCCAGGACATGTATTGCTTTTCTTTTGGGTGTGGTCGCCAATAGGCAAGCCTGGAGAGCTCAGAAGCCCAGCGGATTTCCATGGCAAACAGGATGGGCACCCTCTTTCTGTTAGTTGAACTTAAAGGGAAGCCCCCTCCAAACAAAGCTGAGAGACAACTCTGCTGGAATCTGAGGTGCACCCAAGGTAAGATGTTCTTTGAGATGAAGTCTATACCCTGACATCTCCAATAACTTAGAAAACCCCCGTCCCCCCACCCATCCTACCCCCACCTCCCCCCCCCCAAAGCCCTGAGTCTCCCCGAACCCCAAAAGTCAAGGAGTGTCCCACCCTACTCAACTTTCACTTGCTGGAGCTGATATGAAACTAGTTGGAAGTTCGGTACTTCTGGCCTTCATCAAAAAAGAAAGACTGATCGACCGGCTGCTTCCTTAGGCCCGCGCCGTGATGTTGCGCCCCATATCCGTGTCCCCGGTGCCGAAGTGCAGCGGCTGCGCCATGTCCTCAAATCGGCTCTTTGCGGCTCGGCTCAAGGGGGGTCTTCGGCCCCCAGTTTTGGACCGTGAAACAAGTTTCTCCCAGGTGAAGGTCGGATTGTGTTTGGCGGTTTCCCTGCTGGCGGGCAAAAGGTCCCAGGTGAGAGTCAATATCTGCTTGGTCGTTTTTTGGATGGCCATCCCATGTCTTGGGGACCTTTTGATCAACACCCACATTATGTTCTCTGGACCTCAGATGTGGGCCAAGGAACAAAAACAACGGCAATGTGAAAACAGGGATTTGGACCCTCCTCAAAAAAAACAAACGGCGTTCCCTTCGGACCCTGAAAAACCAGGCACCTTGCTGATTGATGTTCCCTTTGAAATCGAAGATCAGCCAAAGACCTGTGAGGTTTTTCCTTCCAGATTGCGTCAGAAATTGTCCTTGCCAGTTCTTCTAGTTTCAGCCTGCGCTCGCTGTGGAACTTCTTTTCGTGGCAAGTTGGAACCAAAAAAGGAGGCCCTGCGGCAACATAATCTTGCCGTTTTCACAGTCACCAGCTTGAGGGAAACAACGCCATGCCGACTTTGACAAACCAAACCAGAAACAGTCCAACGAATGACCCCAAGTTTGAGGCGCCTCCTTTCAAAAAAGCTTCATCGGCCTCTGGCAAGCAGCCACTGGAAGGGACGTCTTAGCCCGTGGGCCTTCATGTCTGACTTCTTTGGGGTGGGTGAAGGTAGATATGAGCCAATAGATCAGGCCAAAGAGATGAAGGCTGGAAGCCGGGGAAAGCAAAGGCCCGCAAAGATTCTGGGACAGGGCTGTGGGACATGGAATCCACTTCTGTTATACAACAAAAAGGGCGTCCCACAGACTAACCCCCCAAGGGGGAGATTCCCGAAGATATCACAGAAGTGGGGAGAAAAACCCCTTGATCCCACAACCCTGTTCTGGGAACCTTCTTGGTGATAAAAACTTCTCGAGCCTGGGGGATCCCGGACAAGCTGTCTGGGGGTACAGCGAAAATCAGATTCTCTCATTCGCCTTTTTTTCCTCTACCCTAAAATCGGTTCGGAGACCCCGAGCCAAAAAACACCACGCACTCAGTTTTCTCTCTCCCCCGGACTTAGCCGTCGCACCCCCAGTAGAGTGATGAGGTACTTGAGGCAGTCGGCATCCGTCAACTTGATGCCATCCGGCCTTCGAGATCTTGGTTGCTGCAACGACCCCCCTGCAAACAGTTGAACTTTTTTTGGGGGGGGGTTTAGTGGAAAGCCCAACTTGTTTTCAACCAAAAAGTTAAAGCCTAAAGATCCAACCCAATAGCAGTCAAGAGATTCGCGCCTGCTATCGGATCGAAGTGGATTGCCATGGGAGAAAAACTTGTGATGGGTGCGAAATCGGGACGGAATGAGAATTGGCATGACCCGAAAATAAGCCATCCAACTGGTGGTTTTATGGGGAACCCACTAGAAAAGGCAGCACTGGCTGTCTAGGGGGTTTTCTTGCAAGTCATCCAGGGGCGCCGAACCGCTTTTTGGGCGCCTTTGAACACAGAATTATCAGCTGTGCATGCTGAGCATGTGGGGGAATCGAAGTCCCCACTCTTGATCCCCACTCTTGATTCGCCACCACTGGCTGCCAGTGTTGACCCCAGATTCGCAAACCCGGCGGAGTCATAGGGGATGGCTCCACCAAAGGCGAGTATTGGGACACGCCCATATTCATCAGCCAAGGGCTTACTAATTCTGGGCGAACTCAGGCACGAGCATGAGAAAGTGGCCCTAAATCCGATTTCCACCACCGTGTGGTGGAAAACCACATGGCCACCAAATGCCCAAAGTTTTGTTTTTTGTTTTTTAATAGTTGCGGTATCCTTTTCAGGTTGGCTTAAAGGGAAACAAGAAAACCAGTCCCCTACAAAGCCAAGTCTTGATCCCCAACAAAAACCAATGCTGGGCCGCCGGGCCAGGTGATCTGTGCCAGCTCGCGGCCTGCTGTTGGCTTTTTTCGGCCAGGGTCCTCTTGTTCGTCTGCCGGAGATTTCCCAAGAGACAGCTAGGTTGGAACAAGGGACTGACCAGATGGTCTAGGTCCTCCAGTAGAGAGGTTGGAACAAGGGTACCAACTTTTTTTCTGTAGTCTATTTTAGGTGGGGGAACCCTCCCAACCAAAAAGGGGGTGAGAAAGGGCACTACTGGGGGACCTAGTGGTATACTGGAAAATCCCTGACAAAGAGATCCAATCATCAAGAAAGGATAGTGGGATGAGTGGAAGAGATAGGATGTGGCTGGGAAATGAGGATGAAGTAAGCACTCATTTCCATCCTATCTCCGAATCCATTCCTTTTAGACTCTTCTGTGCCAGCTCGCGGCCCGGTCCTCTTGCGTTCATGACTTCATTTCTTTTTTGCCACCCTCCTTCAATTGTTGTTGTTGTTTTCTTCTAAGGTGCCCTCCTTCAGTTGTTGCTCAGGTTACCTCTAATTGGTGGTTTAGATTGGTCTGGGGATTTGAACCCTAGTTCTTACAGAGGGTAGATAGGAACCCCTTAACCACTAAACCACCGGGCTCCAAACCACTGGGTTCCCAGTCACATAGAACCTGGGGTAACACCCCACCCAATCCAAAGCATCAATGAAGGGTAGCCTCAAGCAGGCCAAAACGGTTTTGGAAGACTTGGTTCCAACCAATTGGGGAGCTTCCATGTGACCAAATTCCTGTCGGTGGGGAGGAATCAGGGCACGCCCTGGAAAACCAAAGGCGCTTACTTTACCCAATACCCCTGGTCTGGTTGGACAATTGGACAAAAGGCCCTTGGTTTTCACCTGGCTGTTCTCTGACTGATTGCTCCCCATTGTCCCCAAGTATAGAGAGTATCCAAACATATTGTGAGCTTCTCACATGAGTCATACTCAAAACCTGGCATTCACATGGGCTAAGAATTGAAAAGGCGGCCGAGCCCATTTATGGCCGGGATTGTTCCTTACTACCCTCCAATTACCCGGATTTCGATTGTGACTCACATGGTATAGTTTGACAAAACCGTCATTTGCGCCAAACATGATTGCAAGCCCTTGTGTGCCATCGAATCTGCTTGGCTACAACAAGTTGCCTACGCATCACTTCACAGCAAACCCGCTTGGGAAGCAGTTGTCGTTGTCAAGACTTCGGTTGGTCTTGGCTCTCTTTCACGGAATCCTTGTTTTGGCTGTCTGAAGTCCCAGTTTGAGGGTCAACCATCCCATCCCCAAGTCAAAGTGTTGTTTGACCACGGCTCACATGAGCAGCGCCCAACACCCATTCACTATTGCTCCCACTGAAGCGGTTATAAAGGCTTATGAAGGCCTTGCCGAGACTTTTAAGCCAGGTAGCAAAGCCAGCTACTAAGGTAGCCAATCGGGTTTTTTGGGACCTGCTCACGTGGCTTCGCCATGGGCAGGCTTTTGTCGCTACGAACCTTCGCTCCGGCCTGTGAGGCGGCCATACAAGTAGAGGATAGCCTTCATCAAGCACCTCAGAGCATGGGTGCCCAACCACGCTGATGTGGATGTCATCTGATTGCAGATACGCGTTTAGAGGTTTGAAAAGGAAAGCAAAGGGAATCCTTTTCTTTGAAAGGGAAACCAAACGCAAAACAATGCTGAAGGTCATCTTTTTTATGAAGAACCTATGGCGCCCCTGAATTCTCAATAGTCCAGGGGCGACGCCCAGGAGTACTGAGATCCTCAGGCAGACCTTACGCCACATGTCATGGGACAGGCGTCGGGGACAAACATGCTAGCTAACCAACAGTCAAGCAACCTAGCGATAAGCATGAAATGCCAGTGCGAAACGGCAGGATACATCCTGTCTAACAGATAAACTGAATTTCGAAGAAAACACATGACCTTTTGCTAGCTGCTAAAGTGATCTTCCCAAAAAGGTTAAAGTCCACAAACGCAAGCGAGCGTCTCAAGAAAGCGGTGCCTCGGAACGACGCAACACGAGTTAGAAAATTCATTCGAGGCACCGCATGTCAGCTTTATCCCCTTGTGGTTCGTATCTGAAACAACAAATGGGAAGGGTCATATTCACAGTTGTTCGAGACACCACACGCGCACACACAAACAACTACTCGTCCGACACGAGAACAAACGGAAAGGCCCTTGGTTGATTTGTTGGTCGGCTGGGGGCAAAAGGGCCCGGAACGCTCGTAGTCGGCATTACAACTTAACAAATGGGTGCGTCTGTGTTTTTGTTGACCGTACCCTGGGTTAGGGGTCAAAGGGACACGACAGGGAGAACCGATGCGAGTTTTTTGGGGGTCCCTCTATTTTGACACATACGGTGGATGAACAACATCCTGCACCACCTAAGAAGCCCTGTAATGATGATTCCCATGTAAATACCAACAAGAAATGTTTTCATGCTATAAAGTTTCCTCAGTGACTCCGTCCATTGCAGAACTTTGGTTTGTACCCTCTTCCACAACGCTATTTTTTAGAAAGGTTGGAGACAAAGGAGGTAGGGATCTCAGGTGGTGCGAAATGGATTTCGCAACCATCCACTGTATGTACACGGCCATGTGCCTGGTCCCCTGCCATGTCACCCCAAGGAGCAGCTGGCCCGTACCCGAATCTGTTGTCTCCAATGAAGTAACCCTGGTATAATATACGCTCTTATGTATGTATGCTTTAAAGTTTTAATATCTTTATATATATATATATACAAATATATGTATATATACATACACATGGCAAATCCTCGCTTCTGTGGGTAAGTAAAGGGGATGATGAAACCAACATGAGGGAATTGTCCTGGTCACGGGCTAGCCTGCCAGGGAAGGGAAACAGCTTCAAGTCAAGGACACAAAAGCCAAGTGCCTGAGTCACCAAACCGGGAACGGGAACACGAAAAGAAACCGAAACCTGGAGGGAGTCAAACATCAGAAGAAGACCAACAGCCTCCAAACTTCCAGGAAAGGTTCTGTTGAGATGGCATGTCTGAAATGCTCCAGATTCACGTACCCTGGCGTTAAACCCCCATTAAAAGAATGGTTGACCCAATTTGGATGATGAGAATCCTTAGGAAAACCATGGCGACTACTACCTGCCCCCATCGTTCTAGCGAGTGGTTTGAACCCCTGGGTTTCCGTCCGCTCGAAAAGCGTTTTGGGACACGCCCTTCGCGACAGAAAATCCCTCGGATACGTGCGGCCGCAATCTCCGCAATCTCCTCAGACATAAGCTGAGGGCTTTAGTCCTATTAAGCTACGAATCCCTAGGTAGAAGAGAGAATTCAAGGGTATTTAGAGTATACAAACTATAACAAGCCCCTTTAGAAGCACTGAAAACCAGATATTTTTACGAATGGCCCCTGGAGAATTCCGTTCCGCAGGTCCGAGCGCGCGGCCGGTTGTCCTTACAGTCCAGCTGCTGCGCCTTTTCACACCTGCAGCGTGCGAGAGGCTTGGGAACCCTCTTCCTGTTGGGGTAACCCCAAAATGGAAACAAAGACTGAAACCTGTGGTCCCCTGATCGTTTAATTTTGACCCAGTTGGGTGCCAATATGGTGGCCCCATCCAGTTCTCTCTCGGTTTACCTTAGGCATTCAAAAAACGCTAAGACTCATGACCCCTAGCCCATGGGGCTCATGGGGTCTTGAGAAATCTATAGTCAGTAAACTGCCTCAGTTGACCACCCTGGCACGCTGCTCTATTTTTTGCAGGCCATGGCCAAAAAGTTCATTTCCGAGAGTCCGAAGGCTTGTGGGAGGCACCTTTCATGCGCCACGACTTTTCGACTCACGACCCCGGGAGCCCAAGACCTCACTCTTTGAGGCCTTTGGGGGTTCAAGGCCCTTTGTCCTCCAGTAGAGAGGTTAGAATAAGGGTACCAACTTTTTTAGGTAGTCCATTTTAGTAGGGGAACCCTCCCCCAAAAAAAGGTAAAAGGGCACTACTGGGGGACCTAGAGGCCTATTTCGGGTCCAAGGGCTCCTGAGGTCATAGACTGGTACGACCGAACCGATAGTGGAGCTCCATATCGGTTTGCAGGGCGGCCTTCAGGTGGGTTGAGGCCTTCAGGTTGGGAGTATTCAGGGCTAGGGTTGGTTTAGGGTTGGGTGCAGGGTTGGCTTCAGGTTGCTTTCGGGCGGTTGCATACATCCTTTGATTGGGTATTCCTGGCTTGCTTTCTGATCCCCAAAGACCGTGGCGGGCCAACATTTCCAGGTTCCTCAAAGCTTTGTCTCCGGAGTTCGGACGTGTTCCAGGCTGATACCACCGCATCTGAGGTAGCCTTAAGCGCCTGTTCAATTCAAAGAGTTTCCCTCTGGGCTGTTTCAAGAGCCCATGGCCGTAGAATCAGTTGAACATGGTCTCCAAAAAGTGGCGAAAATCTTGCACTGGCTGGGATTCTTGGTTTCCATCCCAACTGGTGCGAAGTGGGTGCCCAACAGTAGGGAACATGGTCCACAGGTTTTTGAGGACTTTGTTCAATCCGGTAGATCCTTGGGTGCACCGTGGCTTCCCCGAATTCCGTTTCACATTTCGTCTACCCCAACAAAGATCACGTCGTTTTGGCGACCCCCCAACACGGTGTTTTTGACTTGGTTGCTGTTGACCCCCCTGCAAAAAGTTTAACTTTTGGGGGTTTAGTGGAAAACCCAACTTGATTTCCCCAAAAGTTAAAGTTTAAGGATCCAACCCAGTAGCAGTCAAGTTGGAGGGTTGTTGGCTTTGCCGTTTCATTCGAAGGGCTTCGTTGCTTTCGGCTTGGCCACTTGGCCGGGCCTGGTGCTGGGCTGACGCTGGAAGTGAAGCTCCGTGGTCCAGGGATACTTCTTGTTCACCTAGCGATCCAACAACTTGCGATCACTGCGAAATCGATAGGGAATCTCGGTTACTTTCTGCGAAGCCCTGCTAAAAGTATAGAACTTTTAGTGGTTTAATACGGAAAACTCATTAGTTGGCAGAAAGTTAAAGTCCTAACATCCAAGCAAAATGCAACAAAGGAATGACCCCCATCTGGTGGTTTCCTTGGGGACCATAACCTGGGTTCATTCCCAGAATCCCCTAGAATGAGGGAATGACCCTGAGGCAAGCCATCCATCTGGTGGTTTCCTTTCAATGAATCCCGACAGGTTCATTCCCTCATTCCGTGCTGAGCACCAGCTAGACAAGCCAGGGTCCCCTTAAAGGAAACCAGTGGGATGGCCTCTATTTCCCACACTGAGCACCAGCCCAAATGAACGGCAGGAACCCGAAAAGGGGAGGCCGACGAGAGGAGTTGAGGAGTTTGCTCTGCAAATGCATGGTCTGTGGGTTCCATCAGAACTGGGAAGGTGTCCATAGCACTGAATGATTAGAACCAAGGCAAACCAGAACCCAGCCAGCTATGTTCAACCAAACTCACCGGAAAAGGACACGTATGGGCCCAATCTCTCTGCCCCCTAAAAAATAATAATAAAATAAAATAAAACATGTTTGGAATCTCCTGGTGGGTTGGCGTCCAGTTGCTGACCAAAATCTTATTTGAAAGCATCAGTGCTGAGGTTTCATGGGGTTCGTGAGGTTGGTCCCACTTTGCCATGGTCCAACGGAATGTCGAAATCGGAATGTCGAACAAATCCCACGGCCCATTGCCAACCCCCCGAAAAGTCTTTTGAGGCGAAAGTCAATCAGAGTGCCGATGCGCCCTCATGATATACGCCCATTGCAGGACTCCTATCTTAAGGCACCCACTTCTGATGGTTGAAGAGAGTGCAGTCATCGGAGTGACAACACTCCTATCCGTACAGCGCACCGCATTGAAGTCGCATCTTGAGATCTCAGGTTGGGCTTTCTTTACATGCATCTCTCCCGGGGTCCTTTGTGCAGTTGGTATTTGGAGGTTTCCTTTGGGTTTCCCTACACCAGCCCAAAAGGGTCTGACAAAAACACGTCGGTGGTTACCCTCAAATCCCTTAAACACACAGGGATCCTTACATTATACACCTGAACATTGCCCTGTAAAAGGTGGTTTCCCTTCTTTTGGTGGAAAAAGCCATGTTTCAAATGGGCAAAATGTATCTTTTAAGGAGCCCTGACACACCAACCCATCTGGGTACGTTGCGTTGGGACGCTTTGGTGGGGCCCCACTAGACATGGGGTGTCCACTCCACCTTTCGCGGCATGTTTCTCGGAAATTCGACAAGTAAGCTTCATGGAGTCATGGAGGTCTAAAACGCCTGGTCTCACGATATGAACAAATCCAAAGAGGACTCCTTGCACAACCAAAAGGAAAGCGAGCGCCTTGATCTTCAGCGAAAAACAGGTCCGAAAGTGCCCAACCCGAAAGCAATGCAAATCATCCAGGGTCCGGCCGCACCAGTTTCTGGCTGTTTCTCCCGTACTAACCTTCACTTACCCGGGTCTGGGTTTGACCATGCCTACCCGTGCTTTGACCAACAGGAAATGGCACCCCGCTCCAGTTGCGACCTGTTTCCAATTTCTGTCTGCACTCGCTAGTAGGAACAGAGTCCAGCTGAAAGGCGCGGAATCGGCTGAGGTCCAAATGTTGGTCCCTCAGATTTGGAACGGTGCACCTGGGAATGCGCCTCAGACCCCTACAAATCCATGCGTCCATTTACTCCCCTTCAGATTGACTGCCCCCAAAGGAGATTGCCCTTGAAACAAACGGATTCTGGGATCCAATTTCATCTACAGTGGTGTAAGAAACTGGGCCAGGCGGACAGCTGTTGGAGCAACTTAGATGCCTTACAAAACAAACTCAGGTTCTGGTACATGGGAAAAGTAGATGGTGTCGCAAAAGAAACTTCGCTTGAGTTACAAAAGAAACTTGGGGGGGGGGGGGGGCGTTTAGCATTAGGGGAAAGGGATTAGATGGTGTTACAAAATAATTTCAGATGCTGGTACAAAGGAAACTTGCATGGTACGTTCCTATTTATCTATATAAGTATATGTATGCATGCATGTCTGTCTGTACGTACGTACGTATGTATGCATCTATGCATTAAAACACAACCAAGAACACTTGTTGTGGGCATAACTCCGCACACCTCGCAACTCCTGCCAAGCACACGTCGACCCCGGGCGCTCGCGCCGCTCGCGCCTTGTGGGCCCAGGCCGCCACGTCGGCGGCGTCCTTGCCGCCCATGAGGTGCTTCACCTGCGACACCTCGGGCGAGGCTTGCCGAAGCGAGGAATCCGAGAAGGACTTGACTTGACTTGATAGCTCCCAGCCATCCCCTTAGCTTTTTTAGCTCTTCAGTGTTTAGTGGCAGTTTATGTAACCGGCCATCAACTGGCCATCCCCTGCTCCTTTCAGCCTTCCCTTGAGTTGGTTTGGATTGGTTTGGATTCGGATTGGAACCCCAGGCCTTTGTAGAGCCACCCAAAACCGGACCCCCATAAAGGTTTTCCTGCTCAACTGGGCTGCCCTCATATCCCCCGCTAGAAGCGAATCACTTTTAGTGGGTGACATGGTGAAATGGAAACTACCACTGAACGCTGAAGAGCTAAAAAGTTAAGGGGCTGGCCACCAAGTCAAGTCTTCCAAGGCCGGCCAGTTGACAGTTGGGTCCCGAAACAGCTGGAGACCAACGCGCGGCAACATGACCAAAGGCCTTCAGACTGAGCACCAAGAAAGCTGAAGCTCTGATTGTGGTTCAGTTTCCTTGCGGCCTGAAGAAAACCCAAAATAGATGCCTTCTTGAAGACACGCCCATTGACAGCTGCTACTCTGGCCGTTTTCAGATCCCCTGCTGAAAGGCATGTTCACTTTTTTACTTCTCGTGGGTTAATTCGGCCAAAAACCACGGAAAGCCTAAGGGGATGGCGAATGGAACCACCAAGAAAATGGGGATCCAATCCAACACGAGTGGCTTTCCGGTTGGATTCCCTAGAAACCAACCAAGAAGAGTGCAATGCAACAAGATAGACCCAGCGAATTCGACTTAAAAGAACCATACCCCTGTGGGAGTATGTCAAAATAGGGTCCGGGCCCAGCACAGAGCGGTCTTCGTTTGGTTGCCCTTATGAACCTCCCTACATCTCCCTTTCAAACATCACCCAAAAAAGGAAGAACACTTTAAATCGGCGACCGACAACGGCTGCTTTCAATGGTTTCCTTTAAGGCAATCCCTACGTAGCTTCGTTCCCACCATCCCCTATGGTTTCCTCACTTCCCAAGTTGACTGGCCAAAAAAAGTCTGAACTTTGTATTTACCACTAAAATGGTCTTTCCAAAAAGTTTAAAGTCCATCAACTCAGGAAGTGAGTTTCCTTTAAGGGAATCACTGCAAGATCGGAGCCAGCTCAACAAGATCGATCGGGCCAAGGCCAGACCGAGACTTGAATCGCTTCATCCCCCCTCTCTGCCCCCCCAAAAAAAACACGAGACCCTCCAAACGCCAATGGTTGCGGGTCGAAAAAAGGCGCTTTGTGTACCCAAAAGGATGAGACTCCTTCGAAATGATGAGTCTCCTTGAAAAGGATGAGCTTCCTTCCAATGGATGAGTTTCCGTCTGGGTTCCCCTGGTTTCCCCCCTGGTTTCCGATTTCCTGCAGCTCCTTCTGGTTTTTCCCAGGATGGACGCCTAATTTTGGCAAGCCCCGCACATCGGGGGTGATCAAACCTGGGGCGAGCAGATGATTTCACTTTCACGTGGGAAAAGTGACCCTTATATTTTTTTGGCGGGCCTTTCACAGTCATTTGGACCCTTTCACAGAAGATTGATCAACCCCCCGCCCCGCTCCACACCCCCAATGAACAAATCCAAGCACCCCCCCCCCCCCGCCCACACATATCCAGAAGGACCAAAATGCATCGAATGTCTTCGGTCTGAGGGTCGGACCGCCGCGGTGTCCAAGGCGCTCATGGTGGTCATTCCAATGGCCTTGTCCGACATCGATTTCGGCGCTTTCGGCGATTTCGTGGGTGAGAGGCATGTCAAGTGAAGGGGTCTGGCGACGTTGGTCCATTGCCCGTCCCCTCTTGAAGTTCACGATTGCTGTGTTTGTTTGTCTTTGTTTGGTGTTTTGTGTGTGTGTGTGTTTTTTTTTGGGGGGGGGTGAGGGAGTTAGAGCTGACCTTTCCCGTCCGCATTTTGCCATCCGGTCCTAGGGTCCCCCCCACACTTTTGGGCACATTCTGAATACGCCCACTAAAACAACCTATTTTCAACATTCAAATTCAATCACCCAACCAATCCAACACCAAAAAACACATATTCATATACCCATCTTCATTTCTTACCCCATCTCAACATCACCCCTATGCTCATTCAATAACAACAATCATAACTACATACCACCTCAACAAATCCCACCAACAAAATCCAAGCTACATACCAACATTTTTCCATTCCCAAGATCGCAACCCCAAGATCTCAATAATTTCTCCCTTGATCCAAACTGCAACCCTTTCCCATTTCCAACAAATACGAACAGTCTAAAAAAGAACCCTATGTTCGCCCCGAAAAATGGTTAACCAATGGAAAAGGGAGAATTAAAACCGTTAACCCAAATCTTGAAAATAATCTGTGTGACATTGGATGGCAATATGCGGATGGGAAAGGCCTATGTAGGAAAGCACCCCCACGGCTTATACGGGAAAATTAAACTATAATTATAACATATAAATGTTTACATGTTATTATTATAGTATGATTATAATCTCAGTACAGGATAATAATTTAATTGATTTGTCTTACTTCTTTCATACATCATTTTAAAAATAATATTAATATCTCTCACTGTATTTTGAACAAAAAGCTTTTTAATCGCCATTGGCAAGAAGCAAGGCGGTGCATCCAACAACATGGAGCCGTGAAGGTCTCACCTTTTCCAATGCCTGATGCTGTGCTTGCTTGTGCTCACGGTCTCAGTTGAAACAGCACCAGAATTAGCATGCTCCCATGCGCATATGAGCATACCACCATGAGCATATGAGCATACCGCCTTGAGCATATGAGCATACCACCATGAGCATATGAGCATACCACCATGAGCATATGAGCATACCACTAAGAGCAAGCGAGCATTTTGAACGTGGGTTTTTGGGTTTCCCTTCAAATACTCATTAAAATATCACTGATAAGATTTTGGGGTATTCTGTATAGGTCTTCTTGTTTGTGTTTGATGTAGTTGTCTCCCCATTTTTCCTTGTTTCCATTTGGCAGTCTCTGCGCAGTTTCAATATGTTTATTTATTCCTGATGTTGCCACAATCCTTTTTACATAAATCTCTAGGTTTCCATGTTGTAATGTTATTCCAAAGCCTAGTTCTCTTTCTACAATTAAATCCATATTTACAATAATCTACATCGTTAAAATCAAACTCATCCATAAACTCCTGATGTTTCAATAATCCGGTTTGGGGATTTTCGATTACAAAATATTTTGGTTTGAAATGTTTGATAATTTCAACAGTTTTTAAAACTATACTATTTGCATATTCGATATTCCTAATTCCCCTAGTTTTTGCACAAATCAAAATGGTTCCTATCAAACTGTCTATAATCCCATTTCAAAATACCAGTATTTATATCAGCATTTTTCAAATCCAATGAAATGACATTGAACCCCAGATCACGGGCGATGCGACCGACCGACCCTGTCCCACTAAACAGTTCTAATAGATTCATCAGCTATTAGAACCGTCTAGATGTTATTTTTTCAAACCTTCAGAATTTCCGATCTCAAATAAGCACGAGTCACACCTTGGACATAATAATAGTCTTGTCCAAGTTTTCGCTCAATCCTTTCAATTGTGAACTTGTTTGCTGACCATGAGCTCGTTCTTTCTTTCTCGGAAATCCCTTTTTTGCGGTATATTTTGACCTCATCGCCAACCCTAACAGGGGGATATTTACGGGTTTTGATTCTGTTCATCTCAAGCTTCATCTTGACCTCAAGATGGTTCCCCTTTTTGTGGGCATCGTTTGGAGTCATATCGTGGGCAGAATGAACCATTTTACTGTTGTATGTCAGCATGATCTCGGGGATATAATCAACCCATTGTATATTAACCTTTCCCTTTTTCTCGTCTGCATCAACCCTCTTGAAAAGCATGTCCTTGAACGTGCGAATGAAACGCTCGGCGAAATGGGGGTGCCCTCGTGTTTTATAGTTTTGGATCCCTTCGTCCTTGAAAAAATCGACAAGATCTTGGGTATTGAGACTCCCCTCGTCATCCGAATAAATTAATTTGGGTTTCCCTCCCATTTTGTTTAATGCCTCCATGATCCCAGCCGTGATGTCGGCAGGTTGCTTGGATGCAATAGGCACCACCACGGCTTTGCGGGAAAATACATCAATAAGCAATAAGCCTATCCTATATTTTTGATTATCTAAATCATTTTTTGATATAAAAAACAGATCCAATTGATATTCAAAGTTGATATCAGGGGCAATAAACGAATTGTATCCAGACAGTTGTTTTTTCCGTTCCACGTTCTCTTGAAACCACTCCTTGACATCTTGCATTGTTATGGATGCATCTTTCTTTTTTGCATCTTTGTAAGTGGTGGCGATGCTACCAAACCCAGCCTGATCGTAGTAGACCTCACTGATTATCTTGTCTTTTTCACTCATATATATAATACTATAAAATAAATATCAATATGTTATTTTATCACTGAAGCATCTATTACAAGAAGCACAGAAGGCAATGACATTATCCTTTGTATGGGGAAGATCATTACATAACCTTTGACAAGTCAGATTAGAATTTATATTACCAGAATCCATTGACAACACGAAACCACAGCCACAGTTGGCACACTTGCCATTGACGTTGTCCTTCAACCATTCGGCATCTACATAATTTTCTTTTGGAATACCAAAGCCATTTTTACGATCCTGTTCCTTGTATGCTAACACCTTTCTATCAAAATAATTCATAATGCATTTTGCGTTAAACTCTTCATTTAAATCACTACTGTATTTGTAAAATTTTACTCTGTTTAAATCCCTTGCCCGTGTGATCCCCGTCCAAAGCCACTCGCGAGTTATCAGATGATGGTTCCAATCAAAAATGGTGACATCGTCATCAATGGAACACCCCTGAACAGAATGACAAGTATAACAGAAGGCAAAGATAAAATGACTTCTCAAGATACCAATATGTAATGTAATCTCTTCTCGTGTTTTGATATTAGCAATGGTAATCCAAGGATCGGAAATATTAATTATCTCATACCTAAAATTCACATTTAACTTATAGGTTTTTGTCTTCCTATACTCTCTGCATATCATAATCTCGCCGACTTCAAACTCATTTTGTTTGCCCTGTCGTTTTCTGATCTGCCTTGAAACCTCTCTACAAGTGTTATTTAAATATGCGACATTGCTTTCTGTTCCTGTGATGTCATCAGTATATTTAAAATACTTATTGATGACATCATGTAGAGACAACTCATGCTCAAAGATGTCGGCATAAATACTTTTAAGTTTATCCTTGTCCTCCTGAGTCTTCAATCGCTTGCACTCTTCCAAAAACAAATGATGAGGAAAAATGCTGTCAATACATTCATTCATATAAATCTCGTGTTTCTTAGTGTTAGTCAGTGCTTTTATGGGGCTCAACTGCTTGGCGTCACCGGTTGCCAACATTATTTTACTGTCCTTGAACTGCTCAACAAAGCCCTTAATTTTTGCCAATACAAAGGTATTATTAAAACAAATCTCGTCAAACACAATGACATCAAACATTGAATGATCGTATTTATCTAGCTTCTCGTCATTGACTGCTATACCGAAGAATTTATTTACAGTGACGCTTTCCACTTCGCACTCCAAACCCAGATTATTGGTAGGAACCACGAACAACACTTTATAACCCTTGAGTCTCTCCATGTTCTTGCAGATGGTGGACTTCCCTGCTCCTGCGAATTTGGCCTTGATCATCAAGCACCTATATTTCTCAACAAGTTCAACCAATTCATTTTCATCATACTCATTAATGATGTTAACTCTCTTACTTTTGACAATCGGGATCTCAACATATTCACACTTCTTCTGTTCATACAACTGCTTTCCTGTATGATGGATCTCATCGTGAGTCTTGGCTAATTTCCACCCACCGATCCCATCGTGAAAATCTAGCAACTGCTGAGTCTTTCTCAAACCAAACTTATTAAAACCCGAACAGTCCACGACAAAAGCGTCGCATTTGACACTCAATACCTTAACATTGTTCTCTGTCAATTTTTGATATGCGCATTGCATTTTGAAATTATGATACTGCAAAAGCATTTCTTTAATAAAACGAAACCCATTGGACAACTCGCACCTATCAACCACATTCAGAATATAATATAAATTGTCGTTTTGTTCAGATACTTCTCTATCACGGCACCACATGCCATTATCATCATATTCCTCAACCCACTTGGCAGTATTCCTGCTCATCATGTTTAACTTCCCCCCTGCATCTGCCTGAAGGCTGATCGCCTCATTGAGATCATTAAAAACGAATGATCTCTGACTGCTGTTCTTACTTTTTTCCAACAAGCCAAAAATCGAGTTGGCTATTATTTTTTTTAATTGCCTTGTCTTCTTCAATATTTTCGCTTATTCGCTTTCCCCAGAGATCCTCAACCAACATTTTATTATCTACCTTGTGGATGAAGTGGGGCTGTTTGCAGTGAGTAATGGACAACTCGCCAGATGCAACAAGTGGCATAAAATGCTTAAGAAACATACCATAAACTATATTAGTATCACTATTAAAAAACAGATTGTGATGTGTCAGTTCTGCTTTTACCAAATATATATTTACATCCTTGATCTTACATTTACTATTATAAGCTTTCCAATTATCAAACTGATTAAAAACTCCGATTCTGGTAATCGTATTAAATGCATCTGTAAACGCTTTGTTCATGTCGATCTCC